CGAATAGAAAATTCCATTTCTGAACCAATCAGGACCAAACTTGGCACACATACACTTCGGACCCCGGCGGGTGTCATAGGCTACTTTTCGTCATCGAACGATATCGATTTTATCAACTTATATCGATTTTTTGCAGAGTTCACCTACGGGGCTGGGATTTTGCACAGGGGGGTAGTCGAGCATGGGGATTCCGAATACAATATTAGTTTTCAGGATTATCGATTACTTTTATCGATTTTATCGATTTTTCGCAAAGTTTGAGCTGCGGGGCTGGCAGTTTGCACAGGGGGTAATCGAGCATGCTGACTACGAGTTTGATATTAGTTTGGCGCTATTTGGCTAAGCGGACCCCAAAATTTTTTTGTCGTAGAGCTTGCTCAGATTCGTGTATAAGGGTTATCTTACATGCTAATTACAGATATCACACTTTCGTCGCTGAAAGTCTCCCCATGTGGTTACGATAGATGTGCGGTAGGAAGTCAAAATCATGAATTCGGCTGGAGGAGTTCGGTCCAGAGAACTTATTCGACATGCTGATTATGAATTTCATACTCTCTCTGCATATTGAAACCTCTTCATAGAGTTATGGTGGTTATATACGGTGTGGGGTCGAACATAGATTTGCTTCAAACTTCGTCTAGGGTGATCATTTAGCGCGCTGAACATGAATATCATGAGCTACGGGGCTGATTTCGCAGGATAGTGCATTTTCTTGGGATACGGTGGGTGTAGATGGGCCGAAGTTCCAGATTTGCTTATATACTGCTTATGAATATGAAACTTGCTCGCTGTCATAACGGATAGTGAAGTTATGGCGAGTCGCAGGATCTGAATGGACAGGGCCAATTTAGATCCCAGATATTCATGGAATGGGGAAGCGGTCGTTTTGCATAGCGGTCTCCCGCCCCATCCTGATAACCTGTCCCAACGTGTAACGCACGCGGCAAACTCCTTCCCCCTGTTTTCGCTTAGGCAAAAGCCGCCGAAGGGTGTAACGCTCGTGGCAAATCTCTCTCCTCCTATTTCTGCTTAGGCAAAAGCCGCCTAAGGGTGTATCGCGCGCGGCAGTGGTCCTATAACGAAAGCATTACGGTTGTGGGAAACTTTTATACCACACGAATTGCCTTTATCACGGGGATTGAGCACGGTATTCTTTGAACAGCACTTTAGGTAATTCTCTGCCAAGGTTTCAGGCAGGTTTATGATTTTTACCCGCTGCCACGCGATGACTATAATATTGTCATCAGCGGCTCAAATAACCCCCATATACCGAGTTTGAGCAAGATCCGTCACAAAAACATTTTGGGGCCCGGATAGCAGAATAACGCCATCAGTTTTTAGAATTATCCTTACTTTTATCGATTTTATTGTTTTTTTGTGCAAAGTTTGAGCTATGGGGCTGGGGAGGAAGGTAGGTGAGAATACTGATTACTCACGCAGCGGAAATAGGGAATGTAAAAGTGGGCACAGGTTAAGGTGTACAGGGATAGATGTGGAACCTTTATCGTTTTTGACAGGGCCGGGCGGAGCCGGGTAAGCCAGCTAGTTCATTGTAAACAGGTTGTCCCGTTACTCCTATCCCGTTACTTCGACTCCTCGGGGAATTAGAGCAAAAACTTGACCCTGGCAAAAATTTGGGTAGTAGTTTTTGGTAATTTTCTGAGAGCTAATCGATTAAACTACCCTAAAATCCGTCAAATAAGTTCGGACTTATCTGCATTTTTGACACGAAAAATCGATGAAAAATCGCCCTCTGCGCTGCCAAAAGTCCTTAGCTAGTTTCTACTGCCCTTCTTTTCGAATGTGTGTAATAGGAGCAATTTTTTGTAAATTCTTAGAATTTCGAAGTGCAAATGTTGTACAATATATATTGGACGTGGTGAATCCCCCCTGCAAATACCTACTTACCTTGATATTGTAGTCATCTGTTTTATTGTGAATGCTAAAGTTAGTTTTATTACCGTAAATGAGTCTCGACCAAAACAGTAGGATTATAAAACCGCATATATGATAGACTCTTAGATTTTTGATCTTTGATCTTGTAATGATTGCCACTATCGATATCAACCTTGTCCACCTACTCCTTCAGCAATGCACTACGTTATAGTCAGTGTAATGAAGTTGATACCAAGGCAGTTTCGTGGTGTACAAAGTTATGCAATAGTCCTACTATCATCGACTCTTGTTTCGTTGTGGAGATTTTTATCTCCGGTTCATTTTGTGCCTATAATTTACAAGTTTCCATTAGCTCTTTTATCTTCGCGTCGATTTGTACCACATTTGTCGAGAACTTGTGGAACAGAAAGAATGCCAATGTTACAATAGGGCACTTTCGAACGTAGGATACACACTTTCTGGAACAATCATAGACTTATTTTTCTCTCTTACGCCATCATTTTTTTGCGAATTTCATCAAAGCAATTTTCTTTACTTTAAAAGAATTTCGACAAAAACCATGCAAAAGTGACTATATCGCCAGAAAAAAGTCAAAGTGAGGGGATGCTTGCTAGCAAGGGGAATGCCTTTGCGAGGTTTTGAATGAAGAAAATACATGGATTTTCAGTGCTGAATGATTTTCCCCCTTTGTTTGTTTAGATATCCTACACCGCCATACTGCAGTCATTCAAACAAAAAATTGAAAGGAAATATTTCTGTGAGTTCTGGGGAAATGGAAGTACTTCAGAAAAACCCTCAAATTTTATGCGAGAGATGTATGCATTCTTCAGCCATTTTTCTCTGCCCAAATGAGAAGCTTTTTTCTAGTTCTTTGTCTGGGAAAAGTTTTGCACGCAATTAGGGAGATAAAGGAGGGTAAACGGGAAAACCCGGGCTTCCTTCCTTGCTGCGCAAATACTCAAAAAGGAAAATTTCGTGCGACTAAGCTTTGGCTTGTTTGTGCAAGTCGTACAAGTTTTTGAGAAATTTCGTGAGATCCACGTATAAAAGGGCGAAACTGCTTTCTCGATTACTTTCCTCATATCGTGGACCCCCTATCCGTGATTTCGATTGTCTTTGTGTTCCTATCAGACCATATCCACTCTCAAGTCAAGCTTTTCTCCATCTCTCTATATTTTCTCTAAGTTTCCAAAAGTGTGCTCAGGTTATAACAGTGGCACCCGCAGAATTTCCCGCCCCCGAAAGATTTTTTACAAGATTTTTTACTAATGTTGAATTTAAAAAAATGAAAAATGGTCCAATTATTTACGAGAATAGATAAGTCACTTTGCATATTTTTATAACCCATGTAAGCAAATTTAGATTTTCTCAGCCCATTCTCGAGGCCTGCGCCCGCTCCACTCTTGTTCCGCCGTGGGTAAAACGTACTGTGTTGCTTCTAATCAAGCCAGTACCATACTTGCTCAATATATCAACGCATTCTTACATTTTTCTCCTCTAAAATTTCCAGAAATTTATTCTTTCTCTCATTTCATTCACAGCATTGTCACAACATTGCAAGATGTACATATACACGAATCTATAACAAAAACTATGCCAGCTCCTTTCTTACAAATGTCTGAGGTTTTCCGGGTAGTATGTCATTGATTTTGGATCGGTCCGAAAGTTCTATCGTTTCATATTCAATTTTTTTTCAACTTTGCACTATTTGTAACGGATTGGCTTGGTTGTAATCTTATTGAAAAGAAAGGTCCTTTGCTTCCAAATACTGTCTTGACTAGCTTCTGTTTCACACTAAAAAAAAGAAGAGAAAAAAGAGATAAAAACGGAAAAGTAAGCACATAAGCTTTGATCATTTCGAGTGAGATCACCAAAAATCTGGAACGCTGCCGAAAAATCTGAAATCGTCTTTTGTTTTACCCTTTGCTGTGAGAAGCTTGTGTGTTTACATCAGTGTGAAAAGCTATGAATTTTGTGTTTACTACAAAAAACGCCAGAATTGATTAACTTGCACTTTTCTCGAATTCGCAACTCCTCAAAGAGATGTCCAAACAGCAGAATCTTTTCATAGTTGCGGAGAGTAGGCCAAAAAACTCATGCACTGACGACTTCAGATTTTTCTGCAGCCTTTTCATATTTGGTGACCCTAACAAATTGGTCAAAGCTAGTTATGGTCTCACTTTCCCATTTATATCTCTGCATCAAGTGTGAAAAAGAAGCTCTCTAGAAAAGTATTGAAAGCGAAATAATTATTTTTCCTAATAGAATTACAAGCAGGCAAATCCGTTGAGGTAGACAAAGTTAGAAATTGTTGAAGATGAGGCGACAGAACCTTCAGGCCGATCTAGCATAATTTCGTTATTATATATATTATTATATTATATTATATTATATTATATTATATTATATTATATTATATTATATTATATTATATTATATTATATTATATTATATTATATTATATTATATTATATTATATTATATTATATTATATTATATTATATTATATTATATTATATTATATTATATTATATTATATTATATTATATTATATTATATTATATTATATTATATTATATTATATTATATCATATTATATTATTTTTCTGAATTTCGTGAAAAACTAAACTAATGAAATAATCTTTAAAGGCGGCTGCTGCCCTATCTTACTCAAAATTCGAGACAAAAACCGTGACTTAAAAAGTTTCCCAAAACTTTCTAATGCTTAACTGATGTCACTTCCTTCAATTCAAATGAAAACTTCTCTCTCTTTGCAACCCTAAGACAACTACTCAAGACCGCCAATGCCACAAATCTTTTATCAGTTTCCTGTTTGTCCAAAAAGCAACACTTGGTGCATGTGACATCCGCAAATAAAACTTTTTCATCTTGCATGCTTCTTTGTCCGCTATTAATCAAAGGGCAATTTTGATTGTGTCATGTCCGGTTTGGAGGAGACATGCCATTTGATTTATGGGCCAACTCATCATCGAGAATTGATTTTGTCCGACAGCAACTATCTATATCCACCCATTTTCCTCAATGTATTCAATTTCAAGTCTATAAATTCGTACTGGCACTAAAGCTGATTGAACACCTCCAGAATGACCCAAACTATTGTGAGCCTTACTAAAGCTTGTTTTTTTATGCATGCTGTGGCAGCCACCATTTCCAGAATTGTTCCGAAATGTCCATTGCTATCGCACAAGTTGGCACCGTGATTTATGACACTCCATCGACTTTGGACAAATTGGAACGGATTACTAACGAAGTCGCTAACAAAGGTGCCAAGCTGATTGTGTTCCCAGGTATTGATCTATATTGATTGATATAGTCTTACTTGCTCTCACTGGTATAGGCTAGTTGTTTTCAGAGGCTTTTATTGGTGGCTACCCAAAAGGCCTGGACTTTGGCATTGTCTTGGGGACACGATCACCAGAAGGTCGCGATGAGTTTGCAAAGTAAGTTAGAGCTATTAGGTTGCCCATAAGCCTTTTCATATCGGCGAAAATCAGCTGACCTCAATTTTTTAAATTAGCTTGAACAACTATTCAATAAAATGCAACCTGTACAAGATGACCTTCGAATAATCGTAAAAGGTTTGATACACGTGGAGTTTGAAGCCGAAATTCAAAAATTTCTAAATGTCAGAAATTCCAGTCTCCGCTAACAAATCTAGGGAACCTTAACTTGCTCAATATAATTCCCGCATAAAACATTTAAATTTACATTCACTGAATTTTTCCGTGAAATTACTCCAAAATTACGAACATCCTAGAAAATGTCGCTTTTTCAGAGTTTTTAATGCTATATAGCTCCTCTCTCGAGAAGTAAAGGGTACCCACAAAGGTTCCCACTATAGATCTGTCCATGTAGGACAGCCCAGCATAGCTTTCTCGAAAACATGCAAATTTTTATTTTCTTAATTTCTAACTAAGCAAAAAATACAGCAGTTGTATGTATGAATGTCTGATGTGGAAATTACATGCTAGAACAAGTTGGAAGTTCGTTCGATTTTTTTGGACGAAGATATGGTTTTTTGAAGTTTTTGAGCATTTGGACCTTCTTAGATTTCGGACTTGAACTGTGGAGACTTGATGTAAATTTTTGCATGTTATTTTGTAGAGATTGCTTTGCTCTATCCCAAGTGCCATGAAAATTTTACGAAGAGATGGCTTATGGCAGCAAAGAATCAAATATGAAAAGGCTTATCAGACAACCTACTATTTGCCTTCTAGGTTGGTAAAAAACGGTCTTCTAGGTACTATAATTCAGCGATCGAAGAAAATGGTCCGGAATCTAGACGTATAGCGGAACTTGCTAGTACTTTGGGCATAAATATTGTGACCGGCGTTGTCGAAAAACAAGGAGGCACATTGTATTGTTCGGTTGGTGAGACAGTTCCACTTGACTTGAAATATAAACATTATAAATCGGTCACTTTTTGGAAAAGGAAGATTACGCGTCAATTTAGAATGCACAGAACAAATTTTTTGAGATTCCGGATGGACTAGATAAAAACTTCCTTCAAATAGTCACACATTTTTTTATTTCGCAGTGCATGAATGGACCAGTAAATTTGCGAATAAACGGAGGCGGGCACATTCCCCCTATGGGTCACGGAAATTTGGAAACTTGCCCTCATAAGTTACAAAATTACGCAGGTGACTTAATTCAACTTTAATTTGAAAAGTGCCTCATAATTTCCAAAAATTCAAAATAGCCTTGTAAAAATATAGTTGGGGAAAAGTGGGGAGGGGAAGGGGAGAGGGGAAAGGGGGTAGAAGCCAAATTTCCACTCTATAAATGACGGATTATAGGTTTTCTTCTATGGACCCGAAGGATACCTTGGAAAACACCGTAAGCTAATGCCAACAGCTATGGAACGATGCGTATGGGGCAACGGAGACGGATCTACCATGCCGGTTGGTTGTCACTTCAACTTAATTATTGATTTTATTGATTTGTTTTCAGGTGTACGATACGCCTATAGGAAAAATTGGTGCTGGAATATGTTGGGAAAATTATATGCCTATGTATAGAATGACTTTATACAATAAAGGTGATTTTTATGTCAATCAATACCAATTAAGGTTACATTTTCCTTCACTGGGTAAATTATCCTGATACCGAATTTTTCCATTCTTTTTTCCGAAGCAATGTCCTCAGTATTCAGGTATAGAAATTTACTGTGCTTGTACGGTAGATGATCGTGATACATGGCTTTCGACAATGCGAACAATAGCGCTCGAAGGCCGGTAGGTTGAAAAAAACTTCCTGCGAAATACGTCCGAATTTTATCAGGTGTTTTGTAATCTCTTCGGCTCAATTTTTGAAGTCATGCGACTATCCAGAGAATCATCCAATGCGTGAAAAGCATGGATTAGACAAGGTAGTCAGGGAATTAAGTGAATTTATGTTTGCTCTATTTTAAAGGCAGTGTCTCACCAAAGTTGAAGTCGCGGGGATCTTTACATATTCTATTAGAGGGACCTCTAATTAGGCCATTGCAACAAGTCCCACTCAATTTGACCCCCTCTACGCTGAGAAAAATTCGCTCAAAGTGGTACGCGGAGAGCCAGTTGGTACGCGCGGACGACTCCTTCGGTCTCCCCCCTTACGCGTTTGAACATGTCCCTCCACTTGGCATCCACCTCCCCTATGTTGCTGCCACTGTGGCTGGGGCTGAAGTTGGAAGGTACAACTCGTCCACCTTGCTTCCGCGGGGCTTCCAGAAAACGAGGTTTTTAGGAAATTTGTGCGATTTTAAGCCCATACAGTGCTAGACAAGGTCCGACAGGCTTGCAAAATGAAAAAATTTCGGCAACTAAATTTTGGTGAGACACTGCCTTTAATGTCAATACTTTTCAGATATTGATAAGAGGAGGCTCTTGTGCAGTGGATCCGCTGGGTAAAATACTTGTGGAACCAGACTTCACAAAAGAATTAATCCAGTGAGCAAATTCTTGAAACTTGCTTCGAAATCTGATGTTTGTTTTAAGCTTTGTAAATATTGACCTCTCCGATATAGCACGTGCTAAGATGGATTTAGATACTGTAGGGCATTACAGTCGCCCTGAGGTATTCCAACTGATAGTAAACGAAAAGCCTTACCATCCTGTGGTTCGACGCGCGGACTGACCGAGGTAAGCAGAACTTGATATTTATTTATTTATTTATTTATTTATTTATTTATTTATCAAATACATCGTAAACGACGCACCACCTTAAAAATGAAATACAAACAGGCGATTAAATATGGAACGGGGTGGGAGAAAATGCAAGAATGACTTCACAATTGCTCTCACTCTCGAGTCGTATCCAAGTGACAAATGAAAACTGAGCTGAAAGCTCACAAGTGAAATTGGTAAAGCTCATGGGTTGCTAATAAAGGCCAACGTTGTTGGAAATGTGACTTCTGAGAAAGATGCCGGATGCATTCGTGATGATGTAGGTAAATAATGTAGAGGCAATGGTGTTGAGAATTAGAATTTAGAAGGTATGAGTGGATTACTTATACATTATCGGGAGTTTCGAACACATGCATAGCGACCAGCAGAAGTAGTATATAGCGCTCAAAATGCGAAGTGTCATGAAGTACCACTTGTGGCAGGTCATTTTCGGTACATGATGTACCAGCCCATCCATTTATCCATCCATCAAACTGTCCACTGATTGATCCATACCATCCATATGCATACATACATACATACATACATGCATACATTTGTCAGTTGATAACTTCACTAACTCGTATTTGAGCAACGAAATGCTGATTGATGTGCAAGCTCAAAGCTTCCAATAATGTGCCTTGAGTTGTACAGATAGAGTATTTGGAGAATCGGCTAGCAGGCTTCTCTAATACAATCGTGGGTAAATAATAGTTTCGTTGGACCGGAAGTGGGAGATTTTCTTGAACTGTGTAATTGAGAGTCAGTCAGGATTGACGTGTACAGGAGAAAGGATACGATATGAAAGTAGATGCACATAAAGAACTATCACTTGCATTTCGTCTCCTAATACATGCTTCGAAGAATACAGCAGTAGGGGATGGTAATCATAAGAAGACAAAAATTCAACAGAGAAGTTAAGTACAATCTGAGCTAAATTTGTTAAAGTAATTATGTTCGATTAGGAATCGCGCCAACTTCTGTTTGATTAGAGCGTTTTTTCCTTTAAAGCTGCGACTCGTTTGCTATTTCGGACTCTAGCGAAGAGGAGACGAGGAATTTTGAAATCAAAATGTTAGTATAAGTAAACTGTAAGTGTGGAACAATTATATAGGAATGAATGGCATATGTGAAGAAGCTTTGCCTACCTTGGGTGGGCATTAGGTGAGCAATTGCGCCCAACTAATTTGGGAAAAAGTTGAACACCATCAATTTATGATTTTTCATACTCTGGTCCCTAGTCCTACTGCGCGTATACACGCCAAGTTTTCGTGCCATATTGTTATCTTTGCGTTTCAAAGGAGTCATTTTTCCATTTTTTGGTAGCGGGTAATTTTCAGAAAAAAGCTCACCGCATCTTTTACTCACGTAATTTTTTTACAACTTTTCTCAGTCTGTTCCTCCTTGCCCTTGTCCATCTACATACTAGATTTGGTAGCATAATTCTCTCCTCCATAATCGCATCATTTGTTTACTTTGTGCAAAAAAAACTTATCTTCAAATGGCGTCTTGCAAACGTTCCTGTCTGAACACATCAATCGCGTAAAAATCTGGTCTTCACGGAGCTGAACATGTCTGAGGAGTATATAAAATGCGTACGAGTATGGACATTTGCCATCCTCGTGCCGAGTCCTGACTTGATGCTGTCATCTATTACAGTTTGAGATTTAGACTTTTGTTTTTTCCATCAAAAGTAAGTAGCTGTGCGATTTGGCTTTTCTTCTTGTGCGCAAGACACTTCAAGCAAACTGGTGCTACACATAGCAGTATAAAACCACTAGCTATCGAATTAAAAATGATTTTCACATTCATTAGAAGTCATTTCAAAAAATACTTGCAAGCTATAAAAAATAGAAATCACAATTTTAACGGATACTGGGCTATAGATAACATTAACATCAGCGAAAATCTAACAAATATTAACATGAAAAACATGAAGATTTTCTCTGCTGATTTTACAAATATGTTTACAAGTCTACCCCACAACATTATAAAATCCAATATAAAAGAACTTTTAGAACTATGTTTCAACAATGCAAATGAAAAATACATTATAATCAGTGGAAACAACAAAATTTATTATAGCAGCGATACGACACATTTGAGTACAAAATCCAGGTCTTATACTTTGATAGATTTACTATATTTAGTAGACTATATTCTAGATAATAGTTTCTGTCGCTTTAGCATTTATACATTAAAACAAAAAGTTGGAGTTCCTCAAGGTGGTAACTTCAGCCCACTATTAGCAGATCTAACACTTTCTTGGTACGAATATAGGTATTCTATTAAAAATATCACAAACAATTTCCAAATAATACCTTATAGATATATGGATGATCTTTTACTTACTTAGATACTTAGATGGCCCGGCTTCACGTGACGTGCGGGCCCCAGCTCAGAAGTTTCCATTTTTCCCTGTCCCTCGCTTCTGACATCCACGATCTTCTTGGCTGACGTCGGTGGCTGCGTCCACGAGTTCCAGGTGCAAAAATCGTATCCAGCTGATTTCTCAGCTGGTCCATCCGTTCCACGAACACGTCTGCCCATCTCGTTGGAGGTCTTCCTCGGGGACGTTTGGCTTCGCGAGGAATCCACTCCGATGTTCTTAGTGTCCATCTGTCGTCTGTTCTTCTCATTATGTGACCGGCCCATCGGTGTTTGGCTTTCGCGACGTATTCCGCTGGGTCACGAAGACGGGACATTCTTCTCATATCCGTGCTGCGAAGTCCGACTAGATGTTGCTTGCGTCGGGTCATCTTCAGAAGACTGCGCTCGAGCGCTCTGTGGGTGGCCCGTAGAGCTTTCGACGTGGCTACAGTGTCGGCCCAAGTCTCAGCTGCGTAACAAAGCGCCGGGAGAACGGTTGAGTCGAACAGGTGGGCACGAAGCTCCGGGTCCGTCAGTTGGTCGGTGGCTTCCTTCAGGGGCCCGAAGGCGGCCCAGGCTGCTCTTCTTCTCCTGTTGAGTTCTTCCCTCAAGTCGTTCTCCATGTTCATCGAACGTCCGAGATACACGTAGGAAGACGTCTCCATAATCGGGGTGCCTTCCAATTCCATTTCTGCATCTTCGCAAAGGGCGTTCTTCATGAACTGAGTCTTCTTCCGATTTATTCGCAGTCCGATCTTCTTCCCTACTTCGTTTAGTTCCTTCAGCATCGTCTCTGCTTCGGTGATACTGCTCGAGAAGAGAACGATGTCGTCCGCAAAACGAAGGTTGGACAGGAATCTCCCATCAACTCGTATGCCTCTCTCGTCCCAGTCCAGTGACTTCATCACCCACTGCAAGGCCGCGGTGAACAGCTTCGGCGAGATTGTGTCGCCTTGTCGGACCCCCTTCCCGATTGGTATGGTCAGGGGGCGATGGAATAGCTGCATCGTCGTTGTACAGTCCCTGTAGCAGTCGGCTAACGTCCTCACGTAAGCTGGGTCCACTCCTTGATCGACTAGCGCAGACAGGATGGCGTTGGTTTCGACGCTGTCGAAGGCTTTCTCGTAGTCGACAAAGGTTAGGACGAGAGGCAGTCGGTACTCCCGGCAGACTTCTATGACCCTCGAAACGGTCTGGATGTGGTCCATGCAGCTGAATCCTTTGCGAAATCCAGCTTGTTCTTGGGATTGGGCTTCATCCAGTGTCCTTGATATGCGAGCGAGGATAATCTTCGTGAAAAGCTTGTACAGCACACTCAGCAAGCATATTGGACGATAGTTCCGAAGATCCTCCCGTTCACCCTTCTTGAAGAGAAGGACGGTTCTTGACGTTCTCCACTGGTCGGGAATCTTCTCCTTCTGAAGGTAAGATGTCAAATGCGACGTTAGAATCTCGTGTAGATGGTGTCCTCCGGCTCGCAGAAGTTCGACGGAAAGATGATCTGGTCCTGGAGCCGTGGACGTCTTCATGGTCTGTATCGCGATACGCACTTCAGCAGGTAGAATTCGTGGTGGTATTTCTCCAGTGGGAACAACGGGCATCTGCACGGGTGTTGATGAGCGGAAGAGGTCGGTGTAGAAGTTCTTCGCGATAGATTCCATCTTGTATCGGGAAGAAGTCGGATCCCGTCTTCGTTCAGTAGTGCAGCCATCGGTACGTGATATTCGCAGAGGTCCCTTCGGCACTTCTTGAGACTTCGTCTTCTTTCTGCTGCTTCCAGTATCTTGGCTTGCCTGTACTTCCTGAGATCCTCTTGCAAAGCTGTTCTGCAACTGGTATTGGCAATCAGTCGCTCGAGATGAGTTGCATTCGGATCCTGCCTCAATGATCTTCTTCTTTCGAGCAATTCCTTGGTGGTCTTCGAGATGCGGTCCAAGTTCTTCTCAGAAGTCACTGAGGCGCATTCTCCGCAGGCTCGCAATCCTTTCAGAAGCCGGTCGTAGTCGTACGTTGGGTCCTCCTCGATGGGCCAGTCACAACTTGATATGAGCTCTTCCAGCCTGTTACCGTCATAAACGACTTCCTTCCTTCTCGCGGCACTGTGACAGACTTTCTTTTCCAGCCTTCGGCTCAGGGCCCGGCAGGGGTGGCGCTTTCACAAGCTGGATATCGTTTTTGGCCCGAAAAAGCAAAGGGGAAGTCGTATTTTGGGGTCCGGGGCTGAGCCCCAGACCCCAAAATACGACTTCCCCTTTGTTTACCGATAAACAATGCACATACATTCTTTATTCATCATTCCTTGTTGATGCTACTGTCCTATGAATTTAGATTCCAGCAATGTGAAGATTCTGTGCTCCGATCGCTAGCCTGCCCGCAGGCGGGAATTTAAATCGCAATTCTTGTAAGAGGAAAACAACAAAATAAGCTCGTTTTCAATGCACAAGTAACAATATGGCATCAAATTTGCTGTGTAGTTGGAGGACCATGAGCACAAAAAAAGTATGAAAAATTATGAGAAACTTATGTGAATTTAAAAAATGGTAAGTGTTTTTCGAAATTAGGTGGCTCCCGCGCCACCTGGGAGCCACCTGGGGTGGCTCCCTGCT